GCAGAGGGGAGCAAAGTAGCCAATCACAGACATGTTTGTTGATTTCTACAACGCAATGGCCAATCAGATGTGTTTAGGTTGGAATCCACGCACTCACCGCTTTTTGTCCAGTGCTGAGTTGTATCATGCTCGTAAACTTCATTAAAAAAGGTTTCATTGTGTGGTCACATTCATTGGTTAAAACGGAACTTTGTGAGATCGTGATGAATGAGTGACAGTTTTTAATAAATTTAAAGGGAGCGCTATTTCCATACTGTATACGATAATATATTCTGAATTTAAATAAAACCTATGTTTTTCATGCTTGACAATACGATAGCTACGATAGCTAACTTCTACACTATATAGAAAAAGATAATAGCCTATTTTCAGAACCATAAAGTCTGCAACCGCTGCAACCGATCCTGGTCCAAACGCAGGATTTAGGAAACGGTTATTAATTATTTGTATTGGCTGCCATGCCAAATCATGCACCTGCTTGCTTTTCTGTTTCATTTAAGTGTTCTTGTGAACGTATATGCTTTAATAACAAATAATTGTAACATTTTACAATAAGGTTCCATTAGTTAATGTTAGTTAATGTATTAAAGTGTATTAAAGTGTTAGTTAATTATTGAAAAAGTGTTACCCAAATAATGTATTTTGACCGTTCACTTGAAACTAAGCGCAAGCGCAACACGCACAGTAATCCGACACTGCTTTCTTCCTTTCCACACAACCCCTACAATTATATTATATTATATTATCATTGAAACATTATTTAGCATGTTTATTAAGCTGGTTTCCACATAGAACAGTTGATTGACCTGTTTTAATACAGTGGGGAAAATATTTGATCCCCTGCTGATTTTGTAAGTTTGCCCACTTACAAAGAAATGAAGGGTCTGTAATTTTTATGGTAGGTTTATTTTAACGTATAGAGACAGAATACCAACCAAAAAATCCAGAAAAAACACATTATATAAAGGTTAGAAATTGATTTGCATTTCAGCGAGTGAAATAAGTATTTGATCCCCAAGCAAAACATGACTTAGTACTTGGTGCAGAAACCCTTGTTGGCAAGCACAGAGGTAAGACGTTTATTTAGTTGGTCACCAGGTTTGCACACATCTCAGGAGGGATTTTGATCCACTTCTCTTTACAGATCCTCTCTAAATCCGTAAGGTTTCTTGGCTGTCCTTTGGCAACTCGAAGTTTCAACTCCCTCCACAGATTTTCTATAGGACTGACGTCTGGAGACTGGCTAGGCCACTCTTCTTAATGTGTTCTTCTTGAGCCACTACTTTGTTGCCTTGGCGGTATGTTTCGGGTCATTGTCATGCGGGAAGACCCATCCATGACCCATCTTCAGTGTTCTGGCTGAAGGAAGGAGGTTCTCGTCCAAGATTTTACAGTAAATGGCCCCGTCCATTTGCCCCTCAATGCGGTAAAGTCGTCCTGTACCCTTAGCAGAAAAACAGCCCCAAGCTTTGGCTGACGCTGAGACACCGCTGCACTTACATTTTACATTTTAGTCATTTAGCAGACGCTTTTATCCAAAGCGACTTACAAATGAGGACAATAAAAGCTAAACAAACTAACAAAAGAGCAACAATATATAACTGCAAATGACAAGTCTCGGTTAGCCTAACGCAGTACACATATCAAGGTGTATATATATATTATACACACACATAAACACACACACACATATATATATATACACACACACACACACACAAAGAAAAACAAGTAGATAGAATAGAAAAAATAGAATAGAAAAATATAAATAATAATTCTAAAAAAATAAAAAAAAGAAGAAGATAAATGTAGATAAAGTAGAATTAAAATACAATAGAAAGTGCTAGAGTTAGAGGGTCAAATACAGGTGGAACAGATGTGTTTTTAGTCGTTTCTTGAAGATGGCTAAGGACTCAGCTGCTCGGATTGAGTTGGGCAGGTCATTCCACCTGAAGGGATGTGTTAACGATGTGAGTGAGTGCAGGTACAACGGCAGGAGAAATGGCTTGGAGGAGATGAGATGGAATAGGATCAAGCGGACAAGTAGTAGTATGATTGGAAAGGATGAGTTTAGAGACTTCTGCCTCAGAGAGTGGAGAGAAGGATGAAAACGAGTGTATGTTTGCTGGTAAGATGTGTTTGACAGTTTGTGGTGTGGCAAATTGTGCACTGAGGTTTGTAATTTTATTAATGAAGAATGTGGCAAAGTCGTCAGCTGTTAGAGTTGATGAAGGAGGGGGAGGAGGAGGACAAAGGAGGGAGGAAAATGTTTTAAAGAGCATGCGAGAATTAGGCGAATTGTTAATTTTGTTGTGATAGTATGTCCTTTTAGCAGTGGAGACATTAGCAGAGAATGAAGAGAGGAGTGATCGATATACATTAAGGTCAGTAGGATATTGTTTACCAATCTGTGGGAGCCAGAATTCTTGCTGGTTGGTAGGGGATCAAATACTTATTTCACTAACTGCAAATCAATTTCTAACCTTTATATAACGTGTTTTTTCTGGATTTTTTGGTTGATATTCTGTGTCTATCTGTTAAAATAAACCTACCATAAAAATTACAGACTCTTCATTTCTTTGTAAGTGGGCAGAATTACAAAATCAGCAGGGGATCAAATAAATATTTTACTGTAAGAATGAAGTAATGCACTGTGTTCTCACCTCATAGCCATACTTCAGGACACTGGAGGCAAGAAACGCACCCAGAATATTCCCCACGGACGCACATGCACTCCAAAGTCCAAAAATAAAGCCTCGCCTGGCAGACAGAAGATATGTGTGAGAATTAGTTACTTTAGACAAATGTGAAAGCACAATTACTGCTTATACAAGGAAACATACCATTACATTTCTATGAATTCCCTGAAATAAAAATACAGTTGCTAACAAAATAATAATAAATAAAATAAAAATAAAACTTTGAATGGAACTCAAATTAACTTAAATAACGGGAGGTTATTAAATTAGATTTTTTTTTTAGTATTTCAGTCAGTCAACCCTTCGAAGGATCCACACATTTAATTGAGTGGGAACCCTATTAATACACAAACAAGTCATCATTCAATGGAACTGTTATTAATTTTTAAGCAAACTACCATTCAAGCAGTGCAAAGTCTCATAATTTCACAAATGCAGTTCACAGGAAGAAAGAGAAAATAAACATATATAAAGAAAATTACCCCAAAATTCAAATACTCCATTCCTAATTCTGAAGCTCATTTATTAAAAAAAATGTTCACATGACAAAGGTTATTGAACAATTTAAAAATAAAATCAATTAATCAAATTCAGTTTTTTTCGCAAAAGAAAAAAAAAACGACTTTATTCAACAATTCGTCTCCTCCGCAATGGCACCAGGGTGATGCGGAGGAGACGAATTGTTGAATAATTTTTTCTTTTTTTTCTTTTGCGCACAAAAAGTATTCTCGTAGCTTCGTATAATTACAGTTGAACCCCTGATGTCACATGGATTATTTTACAGATCTCCTTGCTACGTTTCTGGACTTGGGAACATTTCAGTTGCGTTGCCGTCTATGCAGGGTCAGACAGCTCTCAGATTCCATCAAAAATATCTTAATTTGTGTTCCCAAGATGAACGAAGGTCTTACGGGTTTGAAACGACATGAGGGTCCCAAGTCCAGAAACGTAGCAAGGAGATCTGTAAAATAATCCATGTGACATCAGTGGTTCATCCGCAGTTATACGAAGCTACGAGAATACTTTTTGTGCCGCAAAAGAAAAAAAAAACGACTTTATTCAACAATTCGTCTCCTCCGCAATGGCACCAGGGTGATGCGGAGGAGACGAATTGTTGAATAATTTTTTCTTTTTTTTCTTTTGCGCACAAAAAGTATTCTCGTAGCTTCGTATAATTACAGTTGAACCCCTGATGTCACATGGATTATTTTACAGATCTCCTTGCTACGTTTCTGGACTTGGGAACATTTCAGTTGCGTTGCCGTCTATGCAGGGTCAGACAGCTCTCAGATTCCATCAAAAATATCTTAATTTGTGTTCCCAAGATGAACGAAGGTCTTACGGGTTTGAAACGACATGAGGGTGAATAATTAATGACATCATTTTCATTTTTGGGTGAACTAACCCTTTAAGTAGTGTATGCAAAAAAAATAAGAAATTAAAAAATAGCTAAAACATAATAAAAAAATAAAATAATGAAAACATACTGACACCTACCCAGATTTTCCAAACCAGTTGCCCATGATGGCCACAACACAAGGCCAAACTGTAGATTGCAGCAGTCCATTTATCACCCACAAGATGCAGTAAAAGTACATGTTATAAAAGTGAAGCCACTCTGTCAAAGTGCCAAACACAAATTCCTAAAAAGAAGAGAGAGTGAGTGCAAAAAATAAAGACATGAATTCACAGATTATTTTTGTTCACTTTCATAGGTTCACTCACGCTATGTCAGTATCTGAAGGTATTGGAGCACCAACCAGATGTGACGATTGCCTAAAGCCTGTACATAATGATGACCATTTATTGGCTGATGGCGCTAGTGTCGTGCACTGAAATACCGCATCATAAGTCATGTGGGCCCCTCATATTGAGTCAGGCTGTGCATTCTCCCAGTATGGGACAGGCTAAATTTGAAAACTGTGTAATTTTTTTCGTTACTTCTACAACTAGTTTCTGAGTAGTAATGGCACAGGTAAGTCCTTTTGAGGCACTGATGATGTGGCGCCTCAAAGGGCGGTGTTAGCGGCATCAGCCAATCAATAGTGTGCAACAGTGGCCACCTAATTTCTCAGCGGCCTTGGAAGTATTTTACCATAGGCAGGCTTCATTAAAGAGTTGTAAGCCATAATCCAAACCAACCAGCTAGTTGGTGAATCACAATTTTACAAACTTTGATTTGAAGCAAAAATTGTTTGAAAATCAGACAAAAAAAAAAAAGTACAAGACCATAGAGAAGTAGTTTGTGCTAAAGAGTTATTTTACTGCAATTTGCTTGATTCAATACTCTGATTGGTGGGGATTGATTATCTAAAATAATAAATTATAAATAAAATAATGTGGACTAATGGCTTCAACTAAAGCATTTACCATTGATTAACAACCACACAGCTTTATAAATTATCATTACAAATCAATTCTATGAAGAAAATGAATGGTATTTTAACTTCCGGAACCCGACTGTTGCACTATTGACATTTACTCTATATGGTTTTCAGTCAATCTTCACACCTGGAGGGTCTTCCCATAGTATCTAGCTACTGATGCAGCATCTTGTTCCCTACATTGGGAACCAGTGTTAACATACATAACAAGACTTTTTCTTTGTTATACTTTAATGAGTAGTGTCATGTCAGTCTTATGCACACCCCTTCAAGTAAAGTGTAACCCTTTAATGCATTCAGCTCCACTTTAATTTTTTTTAAATAAGTAAGAATCGATTCACAGCCCTAGTTACATATTTCAGCAGAATACCAACCGTGACAGCGGATCCACATAAACCAAAGGTCAGAACATAGCGAAGGTTGAACCGATCACCAATTACTCCACTGATATACAAACCCTGAAAAAAAACCAAACAAATCACCAAATCACTGCCAAATATGGGTGTGCCATATGTACCATCTATAATTTTTTTAAACAAACAAATATGTGTGTGATATATATATATATATATATATATAACACCGATTAGGCATAACATTATGACCACCTTCCTAATATTGTGTTGGTCCCCCTTTTGCTGCCAAAACAGCCCTGACCCGTCGAGGCATGGACTCCACTAGACCCCTGAAGGTGTGCTGTGGTATCTGACACCAAGATGTTAGCAGCAGATTCTTTAAGTCCTGTAAGCTGCGAAGTGGGGCCTCCATGGATTGGCCTCCATCCCACAGATACTCGATTGTATTGAGATCTGGGGAATTTGGAGGCCAAGTCAACACCTCAAACTCGTTGTTCTGCTCCTCAAACCATTCCTGAACTATTTTTGCTTTATGGCGGTGGTACGTGTCAAAGTAACATCCACATGGATGGCAGGACCCATGGTTTCCCACCAGAACATTGCCCAAAGCATCACACTGCCTCCGCCGGCTTGCCTTCTTCCCATAGTGCATCCTGGTGCCATGTGTTCCCCAGGTAAGCGATGCACACACACCCGGCCAACCACGTGATGTAAAAGAAAATGTGATTCATCAGACCAGGCCAACTTCTTCCATTTGTCAGCAACCATATCACCCTGCAGCCCAAGACTGGTTGCCCAGTGAAGCTAAGCAGGGTTGAGCCTGGTCAGTACCTGGATGGCAGACCTCCTGGGAAAACTAGGTTGCTGCTGGAAGAGGTGTTAGTGAGGCCAGCAGGGGGTGCTCACCCTGTGGTCTGTGTGGGTCCTAACGCCCCAGTGTAGTGATGGGGACACTATACTGACAAAAAGCACCGTCTTTCGGGTGAGACATTTAACCAAGGTCCTGACTCTCTGTGGTCATTAAAAATCCCAGGATATCCTTCGAAAAAGAGTAGGGGTGTAACCCCGGCATCCTGGCCAAATTCGCCCATTGGCCTCTGACCATCATGGCCTCCTAACCATCCCCATATCTGCTGATTGGCTTCATCACTCTGGACCACACGGGCCAGCCTTCGCTCCCCATGTGCATCAATGAGCCATGGCTGCCCACGATCCTGTCGCCAGTTCACCACTGTTCCTTCCTTGGACCACTTTTGATAGATACTGGCCACTGCAGTACATGACAGTACATAACACCCCACAAGAGCTGCAGTTTTGGAGATACTCTGACCCAGTCGTCTAGCCATCACAATTTGGGCCTTGTCAAACTCGCTCAAATCCTTACGCTTGCCCTTTTTTCCTGCTTCTAACACATCAACTTTGAGGACAAAATGTTCACTTGCTGCCTAATATATGAATCCCACTAACAGGTGCCGTGATGAAGAGATAATCAGTGTTATTCACTTCACCTGTCAGTGGTCATAATGTTCTACCTGATCTGTGTATATACTGTATATATGAATTAAGGGGAACACTGAATCATCACAGTATAACACCAAGTCAATTAAACTTAAGGGATTTGTCCGGTTAGGAAGCATACGTGATTGTGAATCAGTTTCACAGCCACAGACAGTTGCTCTCTCGTTATAATTCATGACTGCTTCGTTACATTAGGAGAGCTGGACAGGTCTGTAGAAGCACAACAAGCCAGCAGCTGGACCGGTATCTGCTCCTTTGTGCAAGTAGGAACAAGAGGAGCACTGCCAAACCCCTCCAAAATGATCTCCAGCAGGTGTGCATGTGTGTGCATGTTTCTGACCAAACTGTCAGAAATACTCCATAAGAGTGACATAAGGGCCCAACATTCTGCAGTGGGACCTGTACTCATAGCCCAGCACCGTGCCAGAGTCTGATGCCATAGGGAACATTATGCTGTCTGCAACATCATCCAGCACGACCGTTTTGGCAGTGTGTCAGTGATGGTCTGAGAAGGAGCATCCTTGGATGAACACACAGACCTCCACATGCCAAAGGTACACTGCTGTTAGGTACCAGGATGAAATCCTCAGAGCCACTGTCAGACCATACATTGGTGCAGTGGGCCCTGGGTTCCTCCTGGTGCATGACAATGCTGGCCTCATGTGGCAGTTTCTGAATGACGAAAGCATTAATGCCACTGACCCTCAAGTTCCCCAGACCTGAATCCAATTGAGAACCTCTGGGACGTAGCACCACAGACTGTCCATGAGATCACTGAAGCCCTTATCCAGGTCTGGCAGGAGATTCCCCAGGACACCACTCGCCATCTCATCAGGAGCATGCCCAGATGTTGTCCGGAGTGCAGACAGGCACAGGGGGGCCATAAACAGTACTGACTTAGATTATGAGTTGCTTTGTTGAAATGTGTCTTAACTGAAGAGAGGATTGAGTTTGGCCACACCGCCATAAAAACTGGATTGGTGGAGTGTTGCAGCGATGCTTGTCCTTCTGTAGATTTCTCCTATCTCCACATATGATCATGGAGCTCAACTAGAGTGTCCATCAGGTTCTTGGTCACCACATTAACCAAAGCCCTTCTCCATCAATTTGTCAGTTTGGCCAGGAGGCCAGCTCTAGGAAGAGTCCTGGTTGTTTCAAACGTCTTCCATTAAGGGTAACAGAGGATGCTTCTGTGACCCTTCAATGAAGCTGTATTTGTTTCTGAACTCTTCCACAGATGTGTGGCTTGACGCAAACCTGTTTCTGAGCTCTACAGGCAGTTATTTGACCTCAGGGCTTGGTTTTTGCTCTGATATGCATTATCAGCTGTTAGACCTTTTATTAAGATGTGTGTGCCTTTCCAAATCATACCCATTCAATTGAATTTGCCACAGCTTAACTTCTCTTGAAGTGTAGTAGTATCTACAAGCAAAATTAATGCTCCTGAGCTAAATTTCAACTGTCCCAGATAAGGGTATGAATACTTATGCAATGGAATCATTTTAGTTTTTTATTTTTAATAAATTTGCAAAGATGTTAAAAACCTGTTTTTTTGCTTGACAATTATGGTGTATGGAATGTAGATTGGTGTGGAAAAAAACTAATTTAAAGCAGTTTAACATAAGTCAGCAACAAAACAAAATGTGAAAAAAATGAAAGGGTATGAATACATTCGCAAGGCACTGTATAGGCTACGTTACGTGTCGTACTGCAGATTATTTATATATATATATATATATATATACACTGTATATATAACATAATTTTATATAATATTTAGTGTTTTCACATCTAGGTGGAAAAAATGGTAAAGAATACTGTCTGTTGTAAAGATATTGTAAAGAATCCTAGCATAGTAGATTTGTTGTTTTTTTCCTGTTGTACTGAAACCGTATCGAACCGAGGTACGTACCGAACCGTTACACCCCTAATGTATGTATGTACCAAGAGCTTCTTTAAAAAAAAAAAAAAAAAAATTCCTTGTGTGTTTGCGCACCCTT